GAAATAATATTTTTGCAAACAGCATGTAATCTCCATCACGTAGCAATGAAAATTTACAATTTTGCCATTTTCATTTTTGCGACGAAGCAAAAAACGTGAAATTCACAAAAATTTGGCTACTCGAAAATTTCCCAGTATACGGTATTTCTCTTTGTAAGCTCCATAAGCTCCTTGCTGCAGCAGCCATTTTAACCGGTTATTAATAAATTAATTAGTCTGAGCATGGGCATTAGAGGCACCCATGCGTTTTGATAAACAAGGGTTACGGATAATCGGATTAAAGAGGTACGGATATTCGAGGACGTACTGTATCAGCAATTCCTCCACACAGATCTGCCATCATTTTACATATTAATGACACTATACTTGTATGTTTGCATATGCATGTACATGTATATTATCTCGTAGAGGATCTGTGTTACTGAGATGATACTAAGAAGAGATTCAGGAAGCTTTTATTAACGACTCCATTGAACCGTGTGTCAGCCAATGTGGCTTATTTTCTCAACTGTTTACTAGTAAGATATGCAGTGATAATAGTACACTAACAATACATTTGTACATAATGTACATGTAACTTTAATTTTGTCATTATTTGACTTCGCTCTTTTTTATTTTTTAGACTGATACTGAAGAGATTGTTTCTGATGAAGTAAGTACTGTACAGTACTATTGTCTCCTACTCTCCTGTTGTATCATTGGTCCTCTCACTCTCTCTCCCTCTCAGGTTGCTGCTACAAAAAAGTCCAAGATAAAGAAGGGAGGAGGAAGTGGTGGTGGTGGTGCCAGTGGTCCAGTCACTAAAACTACATCTGCTGGAAAAGGTATTGTGCTACATGTATATCTTTTACAGCATGTGTGACATACAGAGCATAATGTGCATTCACTCTACATGTATACTACTTTATGTATACTGTTTAATGTATACTGTTTACTACTTGTGGTGTTAGCAAAGTCTCTCTTCTCAGGGAATTCTGTAACAAAACAGGTTAGATGGCATCATACCTCATTAATATTCATTGACCGCACCCTTTATCAGGAGTACAGATTACATTGAAGGATTACAAATTTTCCTTGACTGCTTCATTCAATGAAGGTGATCTTGCCTGTATTGTACCTGTTGTTAAGCACACAGATTTTACAGTGAGACAAAACTTCATTTATTACTGCTTTGTACTGTCACTTTTGATACACAATATATACCGTAGTTTAGGGAATTTATGTGGTAGAAACTTTTGTGTTTTTAAATGATGCTGTTATTTAATTATACCAAATAAGACTGTGTCATGTATCATTGAATGTGGCATATAATTATGTAGGTGATCTAATTTTTTTTGGAATTCTAATCCAGTGAAATAAAAATCACAGTAAAAAAATTTCAGATTGACGGTATATTGTCTTTCACATGTATATGTGTACTTCAATCTTCAACAATTTTATTGTATTTCTAATTTTCTTTTTATCTTAAATTTTCTTTCCCTCAATCCCCCCAGCCTCTTGAAGCCTTTGGTTTGTATGAGTTGGCTCAGGTTCAGTTGCAGTCTAGTGAAGTTCCTCTTGACTATCTATCTGAAGCTGTGCAATTGTTTGCTAAAGTCTTTAGGCCACTACATGTCAACATAGCAAACTGTTATAAGTGAGTGGTGTCATTTAAGTACAAATATATTCCATTGTATTATTACATATAGAGTTATTGCACGAATTCATCATGCTCTAGGAGACAGTAAACTAATAAGTGGTGCATGTAACTACATGTATGTGCATGCCATGTACATGTTAATGTATCGACTGGTTCTACATGTAGTTTAGTTTAAATGACTGATACCAAGTTAAGATGTTATGCATGTTCTAAAGTCTATTCACTTTCACCTGATCCCTGGTTGTTATCAATTAATAATAAAAGCTGAATTTGATTTGGCTGTTCTAGCTGCGTAATTTTGGTCAAAGTATGTCATTGAGCTTACAGAGGGACATCCAAAAAAGACTAAGGCCTTGTCATTTTGATCCTTTCTTCTTTTCTAAGGACGGGAAGGACCTAGCAATTCTAATGGCACAAACAAAATTTCTAAATTCCTGAATTATCAATAGTTATTACAAACAAGCATAACAGTGTAAAAGTATTACTATAATTGATTTCACTACCTTGCATGTACAGCTGGGTTCTCATTAAAACTTAAATAGGTTTTCTCTACCTTCTAATCGATCAAGAAAGGTCTTGAGACTGTACATATGTTCTTTTGCTTAAAAACTTATAACTTTGTCCAATGTGTAAGCCACCATTTTGTTTGCTCTGACTACTTAAAGGAGTGTGGGAGGGTGTTTGCTAAGGCATATGAATTTTCTTATTTCTCCAATACAACATGTTTAGAAGAAATGTAAGTGTGGACATACAAATATACAAGCATCGCTTGTGGGTGAAATCAATTATACATGTAGGAACAACCATGGGACTACACCCCCAGGTCGTTAAAAATCACTAAGTCAAATGAAAGTCAACAGACTTTAGTTCAAAACGCTTTAAAACTTTATTAATATTTTAATTTCTTTACAAGGTAGCAATTAATTATTTACTCATTTGAAATTTAATTTTAAAGTGACTTGCTACATTTTATCTCTCTCTTTTTTCATCTTCAGGCAATATCATATCAGCACAAAACTGTCATTATGTATGAGAGACTGCTAGGAGTGGACCACTCCAGCTCTATATCAGCCTATGTTAGTTATTAATAACTGGCCACACACAATATTTATTATAAATTTATCGCACTATTAGTTCCCCACAAAGCATGCTAAGTGAGCTAAAAGGCATGCTTTATGAGCAGACAAGCCTTTGAAATTCATAAAAAATCCAAATTTGATCAGAATGAGCTCAAACTTTGATACATCATTAAGACATGTATATGTATCAGAAACATGTCTCTTGGAGCAATTTTTGGCAAAATTTGGTCAAGAACCAAATTCTTTGGTATTGGCCCTTTTTTAGCAAAATTTAAAAATTAATGAAAATCTGATTTTGATCAGAATGAGCTTCAACTTTCTGTACGACATATGGACATGTAGATCAGAAAATTATAAACACAGTGAATTTTCTCTTAAGTTGTTTTTGGCAAATTTTGGCCAAATATCATGTACCATGTCTTTGGTCCAATTTTAAAGCAAATTTTAAAATTTATAAAAATCCCAATTTTAATTAGAATCTGCTTAAAATTTTTACACAGTATAGAACTTCTATATGTTTCACAAAGTTTAATAAAATTTTACCTTTGCAATGTTTGATTCAATTTTGGGAAAATACATTGTGAAATATTTTATCAACATTTGGAACTTTAAAAATTCACTGAGACCATTATGTCAAAATCCTGTGGGAAACCATGATCATGATAATTTCAACGACTAAGCCCACCACTGATTTCTTTCTTTATATAGTTCCATTTGGCTTAGTATTGCTGTGGGGCTGAGAGGACTGTTGTGGCGTTGAGATTACTGTATAGAGTTAGGTATCTAATAATGTTAACACATGGTGAGGATAATCCTGAAATGTGACCCAATATGAGAAAACCAGGCTATCTGCGGGAATTATCAATTAGAGATATGGCTTCTTAAAGTTGTGACAGCGGTACCTTATCAAAACTGAGATTATACCATAAATATATTGTATAAGAAATTTCCTTTCATTTGATACCAAGTTTGCCCTAAAATAACTTAAAAGAGGTCATTTACAGACCTTTCTTTTTGTTGTGTACCATGTAAATAATGCAAGATATAATGATAAAAATGGCTGTAACTCAATTTCATTCATTTAGACTTGTTGTTGCATAAATAAGCATAACTTAGTACTAGATGTGTCAAATGACATGGAAAAAGGACCAAAAGTTAGGAAAAACTTTGCTTAATTAAGAAAAACATAAATCTCAATTTTCAATTTTGGAGCATATAGCCTGGTTTTCTCATATCGGGTCACAAATGTCTAATGTTGATGTAAGTATTGTTTTATCAATGTTCTCTTGTTTCATCATACACATGTACATGTATTGTTTAAAAGTATTGTAAATTTTGTATTATAACTGTTATTATTTATTTTAATTACATTTGTGACCATAATTGACAAAAGGTACCTTATGGCGGATTTTAAAATTCATCATTATGATGAAAAATATCAGCCTGTGAGTGCTTTGTTAGTCAACAATTGTTTCTAAAAGTTACATAGTAACTTTTTGCATCCTCTGGAGCAATTTTATGATGATTGGAGCTCAGGAAGTAGGATTTTTAAGGCTATAAAGACCAATTTTCCTATCCGCCATAAGGTACCTTTTGTCAATTATGGTCACATTTAGTAGTTTTACATTGGTTTAGTACTGAGTAATGCTGGTCATTATGCAGAAAGTAAGGCATATCTGGAAAGTGCTCTTAGATTACAAAGCAAGTGAGCTAGTATATAGAAATCAAGAGAATTAAGGCTGGCTATGTTTGTTCTTGTATCTGTTCATTAGGTTTCATGGAAGTCAATCAATTACTGTAGCCACAATGTTAGTAATGATAAGATACATGTACATGTATATCTTATCTTTTCCTTTTCTCCTTGTTTTGCCTCCTCCTTCCCTTCCTCCTCTCTCTTTCCCTCTCTCTCCATCCCTCTTTCTCTACCTCCCTCCCTCTCTTCTCTAGTCATCATCTTCTTGCCGACTCATAGACTCACATTGGAGCATTTGCTGAAGCTAAGCAATATAAGAGAAAAGCATACAATATCTATAGGACTAAAGTATGCAGTAATGTTAATACCAGGCCATCTAGGTTACTTAACTGTTTTCTCTCACATTTAGTTTGGCCCAGATCATGCACGTACTGTTCAGTCTTATAAAAAACGTGAGGTATATCACTGAAAAGCAAGTCTCTTATGACCAGACTGTAAGTGTAGTTGGCTAACTATTGCCAATGGTTAATTAAAGTTTTTTACCAAAATTATCTTGTTCATAAGTTGTCTTCATAAATTATAAATAATTATTGTTTCGGGAAAGAAAAAATTAATAGCAATGCCAAGTGTAAGTACTGGTAAATACCCAAATTCACACATAATGCGAATATCTATAGCCTGAGCTAATTATTATAAACACTTGATCTTTGTATATAGTTATTCATTCTACTGTATCAGATATTACAGGTACCAATATTGCACACTCAAAAATTTATTTTAATGCTGTCACCATAGTATGAAATTAATGTGGTAGAAATTTAGGTTTCAAAATTTTGTTGTCTAATTTTTACGTAGTAAAATTATTGAGTATGGCATGTAATTTTATGTGATAGAAATTAAAGGACAAAGCTGACTATGGCATGGTACAGCTTTCAGCTGTGCAATGCTTTTGCAGATACAAGTCAGCTTGATTTTATTGTATAATTGTTTTCCCTCCACTCACGACCTTAAGTGTACATTTCCTACATCCTTACCTTGCATGTGTATGCTATGCACCCCAATGCTCAAAATGAATAAATGAAGTAATCCAACAAGTCATACATGGCTTGCCTAAGCTGTGACTTAATAATCACATGCATTCCATGCTGTCTACATGTACACATTTAATATGCCTTTTAGTGAAACTTTGTTGAATCAATCATTTTCTAATAATTATAAATTTGATGAAATTTATCTCATTTAGCCTGAAATAAATTTTGCTGTTCATTCACACTATGACACTCAGTTTTTGTTAGTGGCATGCACTTGCACTGACACTATATACAATACTTCTCACTTTATTCAACACTATTATGACAATATGTACTGACACAAGCTTGCATTTGCAACTTGCATGAATAAATAGATCATTCTAGAGCCTTTTGTAATAGTAATCAATTTATTTGCTGTCACTACTCATACTGGATTACCCTATCTTTAATATTCTTGTACATGTACATAGTTAGCTTTGAAATAGCCTACATGTCAGTTAATTTTAACTAAAATTTACATTTAATATTACCATACACATTTTATGGCGACATATTTTGGTGCAAATGAGTTGTTCTGAGTCTACTCTGATTTGAACATGTACACTTATGCGTCCTGCCTTATCTACTGTAGATTGCCTAAATTTCTTTGCCAGTTTTTTGGTTGTTACATCATCTAATTGTTCAGCAGTGCAGAGTCATCATTAACTGTGAGTTAGTAGTAACTAGTAATGATTTAAGTATGCATGTACAGTTATAGATTCTGCTTCTACATGTACATGTACAAGATTGTTATTTTCAGTTTTAATAACAGTCCTGCCATTCTCACACCTAGCATTTAATACAGTTACTGTAACACACACATGCAGGTGATACCAGTCGTGGCACACAATATTCTTTAGAGAAATGTTGTAGCAGACAACACTTTGTGATGATTGATATTGAATTAGTATATTTTACATTAACGTGGCCTTCTCTAATAACTGCCTTTTATTTCTCGTTGACTTGTACTTATGATTAATATTTTTTGCTTTTTTTTTGTTTTTCTGTATTTTGTAAATGTGGTATGTGTGTGATGTTTGAGAGTACCGTTGTATGTGTGTACTATAATACCATTGTGTGATTGTGTTGTATGTACCATTGTAATAAAGATGAGAGTGTTTGGTTACATGTACATGTACATATCTTGTCCTACAGTCCCAGACTTTATATAATCCTCATTGTTCATTAATCTGTTTTATTTTTCTCTTTGTGTATTTTTGTTCTTTCTGTGTTATGTCTGTTTAATTTTTATCAGCTAAAATTAAACTCTCATTTGGTCTTATTTGATGCACAAATCAACAAGTAATTATTATGAAATTGGAGCTTTATGTGTTATTCTTTTTCAGAAGCTAGTAATGATAAACCAAAGTAGAAGAATGTAAAACATTAAAGGGCTCAGCCCCTGAGCCACTCTATTGTTATGCCGTATGACCCATCTTACTGCTAGCGAAGTCTTTGGACCGCAGTTTAGTCTAATCTTGCTGAGCATTTGCTGCAAATAAGCCCAGACATGCTGATAGCCACCATTTTAATTCATTGTGACCACACCCACTTTTAATGAAGATTAGGCTACTTAACTTTAGTATTAGTTGGACGACCCTATTCCCATACAGACAACATCTTTCTCGTCTTAGTGGGCTTCACTCAATTACGGTAAAAGTAACGTTAATTTTTAAAACCTCAAAGCAAAGTTTAAGGTCTTCCTAAAATCGTGTGCACTGTCACATTTACTATTAATATTTTTATCACACAAAATTGTTTCCTTAATACTATGCAATTATTAATTCATGTTATATTTAAGTTTTAATGTAAATTGCTGTGATGAATCAGATCCGTATTGTGTAGTCAATCTCTGACTGAAAGTGTATACTTGTGAAACAATACACGTTTTATGCAGTCACCACTTCTTTTGTATGAGTTAATTAATGTGTTCAGGCATACATGTTCAAGTAGGGCCACTACTGTAGTTAGAGAAAACTCAACGTAAAAATTTGTACTCTTTAATATTTTGTGGCTTTGCTCTAATACATTCATGTAATTTTCATTTTTGAAAATTAATTTACAATTTGGATAGTTTTAGTTCTTGAGCTTTCTGAGACCTTTTGTCAATGACTATACCAAGATATAGTATATAGTTTACTACATTACATAATTTAAAAATGACATTTAGTAACTCTTGTAAGACATTACAACATATTCTTTGATCAAATTAATATTAATAGTGCTTAAATTGGGTTTATTTTTGCTCTTTTAATTCACAGATTTATCTCAACTATCTGGCAATACGAACTACAAACATTGTTATTTTAATAGTAACATCTACATAGTCATAAATAATTGGCTATTGTCTTTACTGCTTTAGGTTTGCGCTTTGTTCCTTTTTTAGCACCAAAAATTACTTTTTTAGCATACTTTTTTAGCAGCAGTGAGTGGACAGGGCCGTCTGGGTCACCAATTTAGCGTATGAGTATGTGTGTTGCAGCTAGTGATAGGGAAGCAGATATGCTGCTTGCCATAGAGCGCTCACATTTACCTGGAATTGACTTGACACCCAAACACTTATCAATAATAAAACACAACATGCAATATAATATTAAGAGATATCATGAATATGCATGAGATGTGATGTCATGAGTTCACTACAAGTGTATCTATTGTTACTAGGAGAAGCAACTGATGGTGAGACTAGACCTGTAGGAAGAGGAACGGCTACACGTAATAGTGAGTTCTTTTATGCTAGCAGTAAGTGTATCTATTGTTACTAGGAGAAGCAACTAATGGTGATGCTAGAGCTGTAAGAACAGAAACAGCTACATGTAATAGTAAGTTTTTTACACTAGCAGGTAGTGTATCTATTGTTACTAGGAGAAGCAACTGATGGTGATACTAGAGCTGTAAGAAGAGAAACAGCTACACGTAATAGTAAGTTCTTTTATGCTAGCAGTGAGTAAGTGTATGTCTCGAGCTGTGTAGAATGAGGTACGCAGCTAGTACCAATAGCTCAAAATAATATCAGGGCAAAAGAGAGTGTATGTGTTTGCGAAAATTGTTACGTTTAAAGTTTAAGCTTACTGAGTAAAAGTTCTATTAATGATTGGCACCACCCATTTTGTGGCACTTGTTTTATCTAGGTAAACCATACTTTGCCATCTCATGAAACTGCAAAGTATTATAGTAATAGTTGCCCTTTATTTTGCATGATATAGTCTACCCAGGGCCCTTATCTCTCCCTTTCATAAATGCTCTGTTTCATTTCTGTCTTTTTGTGTGTTTTTCTTGTTCATGTCTTATTCTTATTTGAAAGCTAGTAATGATAAACTAAATGACTGTAATGTTAATTTGTACAACCTCAACTCAATGTCTGAGGTTTTCCTAAAAGTGTGTGCAACTCTATTATCATTTTTTATAACAAAAAAGAGA